CCACAATTCTAAGAGCCATCTTCAAACTTTTTCCTCCCCCACCCAGATCCAGCCATCTGTAAGTCTTGTCATCTCTGTCTTCAAACAGGGGCTCTGTATCAACCCAGGAGGGTGGGGTGGGGAGGGAGATGGGAGGGAATGTCAAAAGGGAGGGGATATATGTATAACTATGGCTGATTCATGCTGAGGTTTGACAGAGAACAACAAAATTCTGTAAAGCAATTATCCTTCAATAAAAAAATTAATAAATCTAAAAAAAAATCAATCTTCCTACTACCATCATTGCAATCCACCTATTCAAGTCATCATCGTCTCTTACCCAGATTGCTGTATTAAGCTCCTAACTGGTCCTTCCTGGTTTCTCTCTTGTCTCTTTAGCCCCTAGTATCTGGACCTTGTCTTCTTCCAACCTCATTGTTATTGGTTGCTTCGCACCTCACACTTCCTCCACACAGTCTTCCAGATCTTTGAATGTGCCATCTTCACTCTGACCACAGGGCCTGTGTGTATGCTATTCCTGCTGATAAGAAGTCTTCCTTTGCTGTCTGCCTATTAACTCCCGCTACAGATTTCAGCTCAAGTTTCACTCCTTCATAAAAACTCCTCCTATTCCAGTCCAGAACAAAGTTCCTTTCATAGCTTTCCTCTCAGAACTGTGCTTTTTAATGATGACATTTATTTTACAGATTAGGCACTAGAAAATATTTACTGAATGAAAGAGTCAATGAAGGAATGGATGACCTTCCCTAAGAATCTCTGATTCCATAAATCACTTATTTGCTATATATATCTCATTTGAACATAAACTGGTGAAGGTAATAATCAGCTAAACAATTCAGTGTTTGGTGGGAAAACACACACACACACACACACACACACACACACAAGTAAATGTTTGAAGCCAACATGCAGAGAAGATAAACAAAATAAGGGTCTGAAATTTTAACTGCAGGACCAGGGAATTTTTACTTTCCTCAGTAAGCAAATCTTGAAAATATGTATAAAGCTGTGACTTTATTTTTGTACTGTATTTTGCAATGTGTATGGAAGAGGGTGGAGAGAAGTCTGTCTCAAAGTGTCCTGTATTTTTGGTACTCAATTTTCATCTTCCTTATGTTCCTTCTTTCTCAGATTGAGCAGTTGTCCTCATGTGAAACATCTACCAAGAACTTACAGTGGCCAGGCACAATTAAGCTTTGCAGGCAAGCAGAAGTCAGCTTTCTTATCCTTGGAAAATTTAGCCTGAACACACAATGTGAGACATTCAGGTAGAAAAAAACAAAAGACCACACTAACAGCCAGGTTTTTATAGTCAAAGCTTTTGGTAGGACTTCACATAATGCAGAGAAGCTACAGGATTTGTGACAGCACAGTTTAAAGACAGCATTTAACTGACTTGAAAACACTGGAAGAAAGGACCAACATGTAAAAGAACACCTTCTTTGAGAGATGAGCCATTCATTTGAGTTCATGCCTAGACAACGGTGACTTCTGGGCCAGTTACCATCAATTTGACATGTATCAAATATACAAGTGGGTAGTAAAAGTAGAAGTTTAGGTGAAAATGCCTCTTTGAGAGGCTCTTCTCAAATATTTCTCTAGTGCCATGGAAGAAAAGGTGGTCAACTGCAGGGACCTAGATCTAGCTTATGAAACTTGCTTCTATATAATTTAACAAAGTAAAACCTTTTAATTTCTGGTGTGGGCTCTTTAACATATTTAAAATATCTTTCAGAGATTTATTTCTCTATCAATACTATTGATGTTTATATTTTCTAACAGATTAGACACAAATAGCTGAAGGTTTATTTCTGAACTATCAGTTCAGTCGCTCAGTCATGTCTGACTCTTTGCGAGCCCATGGACTGCAGCACACCAGGCCCCCCTGTCCATCACCAACTCCCAGAGTTTACTCAAATTCATGTCCATTGAGTCGGTGATGCCATCCAACCACCAATCCTGCTGTATGATGATGGTGTCAACGGCATAGACCCCTTCCTGTCATCCCCTTCTCCTCCCGCCTCTAATCTTTCCCAGCATCAAGGTCTTTTCAAATGAGTCAGTTCTTTGTATCAGGTGGCCAAAGTATTGGAGTTTCAGTGTCAGCATCAGTCCTTTCAATGAATATTCAGAACTGATTTTCTTTAGGATGGACTGGTTGGATCTCTTTGCAGTCCAAGGGACTCTCAAGAGTCTTCACCAACACCACAGTTCAAAAGCACCAATTCTCAGTGCTCACCTTTATAGTCCAACTCTCATATCCATACATAACTACTGGAAAAACCATGATCACACAAGAAAGATCCCACATGCTTTCAAGGTTTGAATGGGAAATGACTATGACAGTTAAATGAGGAGAGGACAGGAAACTGAACAGTTGAAATCAGGGGGTCTATTCCAATTTGGCAGGTGGTTCACAGGCTGTGGAGTCCTGTCTATGAATTAGGTTGGATATACCACAGCCAGACATCACCAGGGGAAAAGCAGTGCCAGACTCCTATCAGCACTGACTTGGGTGTCAATGGAATGATGGTACTGCATTCCGCAAAGTCTTACGACCTTTTTCTTACGTTTGCTATGAGACTAATCTTTGGTTTAAACACATTACACAGAACTCATCTCTAACAGAACCATGCTCCTATTTAGCTAACATTAGGGATGGAAATCTTAAACATTGTAAGTTTACTCAAAAACAGAATCTGACTTCTAAGTCTGCTCCCCACTCACATGACCATAAAGTCTTCCCAAGTGTAGTAGAGATTTTTAGGTGGCGGCAGAGTGAGATGGCATTTCCTATCATAAGCCACATGATTGTCATGGCTTTCAGAAGCTAAACCACCACCTTTGTACAAAAGGAACAAAATGTTAAATTCACTTTCAGTTTGAATGTTTGCCACTGGAAATTCTAATTCAAGTCAAAATATTCATCTGCACACAGATGCAGGCAGGATGACCAAATAATGATGCTGTATGATGATGGTGTCAACGGCATAGACCCCTTCCTGTGCTGGCTCCCTGGACCACTCAACACCCTCTCCAGATACCCAGAATATTTGCTGTTTGGTAATGAGGCCAGAAACATGACCAATGGTTCCCACTTAAACCTGTGGCATCTGGACATCCAGATGAAGAGATATTTGATTCTACTCACAGATATCAAACTAAATATGCTAAACTCTAAAGAGAGCTATTTCAGGATTCTCAATTAGTCTTCAAAATGGAAAAGCTGTTTCTGTACTTATGTAAAATATAATATGCCATATTATACAATTTGTTACTTCACAAAGTTTTTAACACGGCATTTTAACACCTCCTCGTCTCTAAATGTGTACTGCAGCAGAAGCCACATTAGGCATCTCTAATCAACATCAAACCCAATCTTCCTGGGGCTCTTACCTTCTTCATATTTGGGTACCTGGGGAAGACAAATGGTGTTTTTGACACGTGAACAGATACCTGAAGAATCCAAGCTTCACCTGAGCATGAGGGTTTTGGGGATGGGAGAAGAGGAGGAAGGAGAGGGAGGTAAATGTGGGCTGGAAGGAAAGGATGTTTATGAAATAGGGTAAACTATAAATGTGGAGGTAAAGATCAAGCCACTTTCCTAAAAACAAACAAACAAACCCACTTCATCTTCATTTCAAATCCTGAGATAATAGAGGCCAAAAGTGTGAGAGCAGATAAACCCACGACGCTGTGCCCTCCAGGAATAGCTCCTGGAATAGAAGGCCGTTCTGACCATCCCTTACTCTCCTTTCCTGGTTCCTACTCATTCAACTATTGACCTCAGATCATTTTACTTCCCCCCCCAATATGCTCAATAAGTGTTTTTGACACGTGAACAGATACCTGAAGAATCCAAGCTTCACCTGAGCATGAGGGTTTTGGGGATGGGAGAAGAGGAGGAAGGAGAGGGAGGCAAATGTGGGCTGGAAGGAAAGGATGTTTATGAAATAGGGTAAACTATAAATGTGGAGGTAAAGATCAAGCCACTTTCCTAAAAAACAAACAAACAAACCCACTTCATCTTCATTTCAAATCCTGAGATAATAGAGGCCAAAAGTGTGACAGCAGATAAACCCACGACGCTGTGCCCTCCAGGAATAGCTCCTGGAATAGAAGGCCATTCTGACCATCCCTTACTCTCCTTTCCTGGTTCCTACTCATTCAACTATTGACCTCAGATCATTTTACTTTCCCCCCCAATATGCTCAATATAAGCTAATTTTGTCAACATCAGTAACTCCCCAGATGTCCGTATCTCTTCCTGAACTTCCTTCAGAGCACTATTTTCAGCCTTCTGAAAATACACATCACTCAGGTGTGTAAAAGGAACTTCAATCTTCACCTGTCTAACTCAGGGGTCCTATGTTATTCCTAGTGCTCAGCATATGGGAGATGCTGAATGTATTCTCTGAGTTAAAATGAGTTAAGAAAGATCAAAAATGACTCAAGGGTCCAGAAATAAAGCTGGTATTAAATAACCTATGGTACACTTAGTCAGTGGAATATTATACAGCTACAAAAGAAAAAGAAACCATAAATGAATGAGGGACTTTCTATGTATTGATTTGGAAAGACTACTAGGATTTTTATTTAAAAGAAAGATTTGCAGGACAGTTCATTTATTCTGCTACCTGCTAAGCTCTGCATAATGGAACAGTGGAAGGACATGCAAGAAACTAAACGTGGTTATTGCAGGCTGGGAGTAGGGGTAAATAAAGTAGGTGGGAGAGGGACTTCTCGAGGCATACTCTGTTATACTGTTTGATTTTTGAACTATGTTAACATACTACATATTTAAAACAAATAGTAATGATTGGGAAAAACAAGCAGGCAAGCAAAGACACAAACAAAACAAGTGAGACAAGTTAACTCAGAAGTAAAAAAAAAGAACTTCAGGATTTGGAGGTTTCAAATTTGAGATCAAAGTGAATGTATCATATTCTCCACTTCCCATATTCAATGAGTTGCAATTATCTTCAATGTAAATGTCTTACTTGTTAGCCACCAAGCGCATGACAGTCCAGTCCTTTGGAAACATCTCTGGGCGTATCAATATTCGGAACACAGTAAATATCTGCAGCAGGAAATCCTTGGGTAAGGAGGAAAGAGATCATTTTACTGAGTTACTGTAATTATTCACACACACACACACACACACACACACACACAGCTATTGTTACCATTTCCAAAGCACTTACAGAGAAAGGAGCCATACTCAATACTTTACCCAGGAGAAAAAAATCATCTCCCTACTCATTCTCAGTGACCAGTTGATTTGCTACCCTTCCCAAACATTCCTCCTTCTTTCTCTTTCTCATGCCTAGTGGAAATGACGCTTTGTTTTTCTCCACAAGCTCTAAACATTTAGGTTTAAGAAATAAAACAGAAAACTACTAACAGATTAGCAGGGAAATGTATTTTCTTTCTTCTATTATAGTATCCTAAACTTCAGAACTTTTCAGTTCAAGAGAACTGCAAAGGGTCTTAGTTCAGTTATGCTTTCTTTTAAGTGGGTGTTAGAATTTAGAAAGCTATGCTCATTGGAAAGCATCTTAGGCAAAAACCCATGTTTCTTAAAGGGCATTCTGAAAATGCAGGATTAATGGGGTGCATGCAGGTTTATAGAATCTGAAGGTCCTAGGCAGAATAAATAGAGAGAGGGACGTGTATGAAGCTGAGCCCAGTGACAAGTCCTTAGAAACTAAGAGTGTGTCAACGTATCCTTCACAGAGATGCCATACTAGGGGGCAGTGGTATCTATGGTGATGGTATCTTTAGGCTGACCACCTGGAAACACTCTTGACAAAAAGCTTTTGTCAGGCATGGAAATACCATTTCTTAAAACATTGTAAGAAACAGACCCAAAGTGCTGGAGCACATTATACTTAACAAGAACTCAAGAAGCTAACACATCACAGGTAATGAATGAAATGGAGCTTGTCCTACTCAAAAAGAGATCGGCTCAATCTAATTATGATTTAGATTTGTTAACTAGAAAACTTAAAGATAGTTTTGTAACTTAATTACTGCTAGGAAAATATATTTCACAATTTCACTGAAGGTAACAGTATTGTGTTGCTTAGAAAAATACCCCAAATATAAGAGTTTTATTTATCAAACCTAACAACACATTAGGTTAAACATGTAAGCCACTTGAATATAAGATTATCATTGTCACCCATATCATCAGTAGACAGAAAGATCCTAAAAAGCTAGCAACATGTGGGAGCTGTGTGTGTGTGTGTGTGTGTGTGTGTGTGTGTTTACATATTCTAACAGCTTTGATCAGACTCATAAATATTTTGACAAGGATTTAATTTAGTTTCTTTGGCATCAGCACACATATGCTGATGTGCAGTCCATGCCATGTGGAAACATGCCCACTAGGTCATCTGCCTTTAAACCGTGAGACAGACACTTCCTGTGTTGGCAGAATTACCACAGTTTCCCAAACACATTCTCCTTCAGGTCAGATAATTTTGGGAAACCTCTCATTCTAGCCCTCCACTGGGATAGGGGATCATTAGCATATCAAAACTATGAGAAGCTCTTTTTAATGCACTTCTAAATCTTTTTTCAGTTTTCCTGTTGAGTCTTCTGAGTTTTGCAGATATGAACACAAATAACCCTTGCAAAAACTGTTTGCATTTACCTTTCAAAGTGTTATACCTCACTTTAGTTTTCTGTCTTGATGTATTTGCTTAGATAGATATTAAAGAAAAATCCTGAAGGTGGGGAGTCACTTGTTTTTCACAGTTTACAAGTACTTTGGTTGGGAAAATGAAATGGCAGCCCACTCCAGTATTCTTGCCTGGAGAATCCCATGGACTGAGGATTCAGGTGGGCTATAGAACATAGGGTCACAATGAGTCAGATGCTACTGAAGCAGCTTAGCACACACACACTTATGTGTGTGTGTGTGTGTGTGTGTGTGTGCACGGGCCCTCAGTTGCTATGTCGTGTCTGACTGTTTGTGACCCCATGGACTGTAGCCCAAAAGGCTCCTCTATCCATGGACTTTTCCAGGCAAAAAAACTGGAGTGGATTACCATTTCATTTCCAGTGGATCTTCCCGACCCAGGGATCAAATCCACATCTCTTGTTGTACCTCCTGTACTGGCAGGTGGAATCTTCACCACTGTAGGTTCTAAAATGCTGATGTTTCATCTTTTCTCCTCTAATCAGTAAACAGAATTGGAAAGTGGAGGCAGCACCCCTCACTAGGGAATAGGAGAGAGGGATGTCTGTTGCACAGAGGGAAAAAAAATGGCTGAAAAATTGGCTACAGGAGGCAAGAAATCTATCTTCAGGACTAGCAACTTTGACTGCTGTTTTGCAGTGCAGGGGGCAAAGGCAAAGTTATTCCAGGTGTAGGACTGGCAACATACAAGCTGTTTCTGTACCATCTCATTTTCCTATTCCCATTTATCTCACACAATAAAAGGCATGGCAGCATGGGGCCTCGGGCCAATGCCTACGAACTGACATCAAACTTTGTTTCCCTGAAGAAAACCTCTCACTATCTCAAGTAGTTTTCTGAGCTTCATCTACCTTTGTGGAACCAAACACATTCATTTGTAGAAATCTTATAATGAAAAATAAAAGAACATTATACTGAGATCAGAAAATCTAGATTTTAATCCTGCCTCTGTCATTAACAAGCTCAATGACCTAGATAATTTATTTAACCTCTCTGGAGTTGAGCTCTGAGGCTTTATAATGCGAGGGCTTGGGCTTTCCTGGTGACTCAGATGGTAAAATGGAGAAGGAAATGGCAACCCACTCCAGTATTCTTGCCTAGATAATCCTGTGGACAGGGGAGCCTGGTGGGCTGCTGGACATAGGGTCCCACAGGGTCGGACACAACTGAAGCGACTTAGCATGCATGCATGCATTGGAGAAGGAAATGGCAACCCACTCCAGTGTTTTTGCCTGGAGAATCCCAGGGACAGAGGAGCTTGGTGGGCTGCTGTCTATGGGGTCACACACGGTCAGACACGACTGAAGCGACTTAGCAGCAGCAGCAGATGGTGAAAAATCTGCCTGCAATGCATGACCCAGGTTCAATCCCTGAATTGGGAAGATCCTCTGGAGAAGGGAATGGCTACCCACTCTAGTATTCTTGTCTGGAGAATTCCATGTACAGAGGAGCCTGGTAGACGACAGTCCATGGAGTCTCAAAGAGTCAGACATGACTGAGTGACTAACACTTTAAAGTCTCTTGTAGTTAGAAGAGACTAAAAATAATTTATATGGTCATTCATCTATTCATGCAGTATACAAAACTTTTTATATTTCTAAACTGAAGGTTAATGTTTCGGTAGATGGCAACACAAGCATATTCCACTGTGGTACTCACACGGGTTCAGCAAGTATTCTTGTCAACTGCCTTGTGACAGGTTACATTTCAAACTCAGTTCCCATAATTTAAAGCACTAAGACCTGAATGTGAGGCTCACCATCCCATCCCTCCCCAAATGCAAGGGTATTTCCTTGTCTATTCTAAGTACTTTTCACTAAACAAGACAGTCTGCACAGATAAGTGAAATTATTTTGCACATATAAACAATAAGTAACAGATTCTTTTTAAAATTTAAAAAAAGAACACTGTTGCAATCATACTCTGGTTTGGATAGCACACAAAAATAAGTGTTTCATATGCCATTATTTTAAAATTGGCAGCCTGGCAGCAGTTTCTTTTATGTTTGTTAACTTCAAATAGCACAACACAGGTATTTAGTTGCATTACTGGTTATTATTCAAATAAGGCATCAAATTAAAAAAAATAGGGAGGAGTTATTTCTCAGCAACACTTCTTTTCTGCAGTGCGAGGGGTTCAAAGAAGGTTCAGGTGAAAACCTTCACAAACAATAAAAGTCTCACATTCAAATAGAAAAGAAAGCAGAAGTAATTGTTATGGTGTTAGATTATCATTAACATTTATTCATTCATAAATATTGGGTGCTTTAATATGTGCTAGGCACAGTAAGAGACTGGGGACACCTAGTGGGATAAAATATATTCTTTCCTTTATTCATGCAAGAATATTTACACAGTATCTGCAACAGGCCACACCATGATGAGTTAGCTGAATGTGACCTTTGCCTTCCTCAAACTGTTTTGTGGGAAAGATGAGTGCTCATCTGTTTAAGGATATGTTACAATCTAGGATAAATCTGTGGGCCAGTTATTTCACTGCTTCCCTGATAGCTCAGAAGGTAGACAACAATCCATGGAGTCTCAAAGAGTCAGACATGACTGAGTGAATAACACTTTAAAGTCTCTTGTAGTTGAGTGAATAACACTTTAAAGTCTCTTGTAGTTAGAAGAGACTAAAAATAATTAATATGGTCATTAATTGCAGTGACTATACTGCAGGTCACTGCAATTGACCTGCATTGCAGACTTGCAATGTGGAGACCCGGGATCAATCCCTGGGTCAGGAAGATCCCCTGGAGAAGGAAATGGCAACCCACTCCAGTATTCTTGCCTGGAAAATCCCGTGGATGGAAGAGTTTGGCAGGCTAGGTGGGATATAGTCCATGGTGTCACAAAGAGTCAGGACTGAGGGACTAACACTTTCACTTTCACAGGTATTTCACACCAAGGGAAGGGCACCTCCCAGCCCCAGAGGCAAGACAGAACACAGGCTCACCCAGGCTGCAAAACGGAGTGCTCAGAAATGGGGCGGGTAGGTGGGTCAGATCAGCTCAGTTGCTCAGTAATGTCCAACTCTTTGCGACCCCATGGACTGCAGCACGCCAGGCCTCCCTGTCCATCTCCAACTCCCAGAGCCTACTCAAACTCATGTCCATTGAGTTGGTGATGCCATCCAACCATCTCATCCTCTGTCATTCCCTTCTCCTCCCGCCTTCAATCTTTTTCAGCATCAGGGTCTGTTCTAATGAGTCAGTTCTTCGCATCAGGTGGCCAAAGTATTGGA